ACATGGTCGATTTTATGTTTTATCATAAATAGATGGATGGATGGATGGATGGATGGATGGATGGATGGATGGATGGATGGATGGATGGATGCATGGATGCATGCATGGATGGATGGATAGATTGAGGGGTGACCAGCATTACATAGCTGCTTTGGTTGGGCGTAGTGGGGTGGAGGGGATTGGGGGGGGGGGGGGCAGTCACCTGTTGACTAGGAAGTAAAGATAACCACAAAACTATGAGGCTGTGTAATGTCCTACGAATCTAAACTGAAAAGCTGACGGGCGACAAATGCCTGAAAATGTTGGATGTGTCGGCCGAAAGGCGCAAATATCGCAGCCATAATGTGAGCGGGCACTGTGCAGTTACATCCTCGGATGAACGCAGAGGAAGTAAAATGTTGGTGTTTAGGTCAATGGGTGATGTGGTCTGCAGCACGTCAGCCGTTAGCCAAGGTCTGTTTTCGAAAACACAATATGGATTTGAACCCTATACCTTTAGGTCAGCAAGCGAATGGCTGTTTATTATTATTCTACTACCGCTCCTCTTCTCATTTACTTACATAATACATCAAAACACTTTTTTTTAGGGCTACCAGGTCGATTGACGCTTGTTTAGAGCTCTAGTGTCAGCACTGGCGTCTATGATAAATCAGTTCATTATCTTTTTATGGCGGCTTGTAATACAGAAAACATGGAATCTAATTACGTGCGGATTGTTGTATGTTCGAGCCAGCCATGCAGCCGACACAAAGACTGCACCAAAACCTTCCACAATAACTGCCATTCATACATCATGTCGGTCGCGCGACTTGTTCATTACGATATGCATATATCTGCCAGCTGTGGAATCTAAAGGCTCCGGCAGGAGTTTTGTAACTATGTTTTATATTTCTGGCTTCTTGTCTAAGATATCCTGTAGATTTATATGAGATCAAAATGTCCGAATTGTTGTGTTGACGAAGGTATCAGCTGACATTTGGGAAACCGGTGTTTGAGTGTGCACTATGTACACATGATATTTCTACTGTAGTTTCTTCTTCTTTTTCTTTTTCTTCTTCTTTTTCTTCTTCTTCTTTTTCTTCTTCTTCTTTTTCTTCTTCTTATTATTATTATTATTATTATTATTATTATTATTATTATTATTATTATTCATTATCATTATCATCATCATCATCTTCTTCTTCTTCTTTTTTCTTCATTATCATTATCGTCAGCATCTTCTTCTTTTTCTTCTTCTTTTTCCTCCTCTTCTTCCCCTTCCTCCCACTCGCTTGTTTCTTCCCCTATTCTTCCTCTTCTGCCTCCTCCTTCCTTGTTTATTCTTCGTCTTCTTAGTCTTATTTTTATTATTACTCCTTATTCTCTTCCTCCTCTTCTACTTCACACCCCCCTCCCCCCCTCATCAGGGCTTAGCCCTGATTTTCCCTTAAAAAATGTGCCATGGGATCGCCCTCCTCCCCCTACACTCACACACACACAACACACCCCCCCCCCCCCCCCACCGCTGCCCCGCGATACTCCGTCTTTCGGTCCCAAACAATGCATGGTGTATAAATCACTCTATGTGCTAAATCCTATTCCTAGCTTAACATATACTCTTTCTTTTTGCATTTGGCCAGAAAACACACAAGAAATCTGTCTTGCCAAATAGTCACTACTACTGTAATATTATAGTTTTGAAAGTAATGCATTGACGGAGTTTAATCACGAATATTTCTTTACTAGCATCTTCTACAAAGCCTGCTTCTGGTATTAATAAATATCAGCTTCCCCCGATGTTCTCTTTGTTGCAGCACCCTGGAACAATGCGGATCTGATATGCGTATTGTGCACATAGGGCTAAACGTGTATTTTATAGAAATGCTAAATATAACACAGAATGTAATCACAAAGCTCAGTGGAGGAATGGAAAAGACGACAAGTCTCTATCAGCGGAGTACTAAATACAGAACAGCACAGTTTGTGTGCTGTATTTATTACCCCATAGTTAGTTAGTTGCATATCCTTTACAGGACGTAGCAGAACCAACCCCAGCATTTGTTGCTGTTGTGGTTTTTCTAAGCACATTTACGGCCAGTAATTTGCCATTGCTTTCTGGACGGTCTCGATACCACTGTCGGAACCAACGGAAGGCGCAAGGCCCGCAGCTGTGATCTAACCCGGCATTCCGGCATTACGAGGCGCGTTCGCAACGCCGTAGCCAGAGACGCTGACCCGTAAATAATACTACAGTAAATAATACTACAGTAAATAGACACCCCCGATGTAAATCGTCATCACTCTAGTTTCTAGTCGCATTTTGTGTTATATTTAGCAAATCTTGCAATCAGCTCGACTGCAGTCACCCCATATTTACGTCATCACTGTATTGTATACACCAGTGGGCACTTGATGGCTGATGTGGTCACATTTCGTTGGCCGCCTTTACTTCCAAGGACTCCTCCTGATACCCATTCAAGGCTGGGTCGACCTGGAAGCCAGTGTCAATTTTGAAGGAGAAAAAAAGTCTGGTATCGTCAGGACCCGAAACCACGACCTGCCAATTTGCAGGCGAGCGTCTAGCCTCTACACCACGGCAGCTGGGCCTAATATGTCAGTAGTGATCTTTTCTGGTGTCTTCATGCACAGATCGGAAACACGGAAGCCAGCAGTGTAATTACCTGGTGTGCTGTGATCTGTAGGTGAGAGGCCTCTGTTGTGACAGACGTGTTGACGCTGGTTGGCAGCGCCAGGTTTCAAATAATGCTTGTAATTGGGCCTGCGACTTGCGTGTAAGCTGGATCCAAAACAACCAGCTCGGGTTTCTCTAAAAATTTGTTTGCCAGCTGTATACAGCTATTGTCACTGCAGTGAGGGTTAGCAATGGATCCGTCATATAATGCGTCACTTGTGCCGGGTGTTGGTTGCTAAGTACTGCAAACAGTAAAGTCAAGGTAATGGTAAGAGGATCGACTTCATTCCACCTGGTTTCAATCCATATATATAGCTCAGTCCATTCCCGCAGAACGGCTAGCTGCCTGCAGAGAGCGTCACCAGCACGACCTCCGTAGCTCCGGCGATGATCCCCGTGGATCTCCGTAAAAAATTGCACTCTTGAATTAAACGGCGCCGCCGTAAAACGAACGTACGACCTTCAGGGCGTGAGGCGAACGGTTTGACTACTTCGCCACAGAGAGAGTAAAGTGAAGGACCCTTTTCGTGTCACTTGCAAATCTGACATATGATGCCAGGCGGATATTTATACACACGAATCGGCACTTGATGGGCGGTGTGGTGGAGATCATACCTTGACGTCCTTCGTCCTTCTTAATCCTCTTCATGTTGCGTGTTGTCAGGGCCCATTGGGAGCGAGTTAACAGTGCGAAGGCACAGATAGATCATTACGGTTTGAATAGAACGGCACTGCGGGGAGTTACAGTGGGATCTGGCCGACGCTCAACGCTCAGGAGATAGGCGAGACGAATATACATACAGGCAGTTATGATACCATCGGAACCGAAACCATTCGCTTGCTGCTAAAGATGGAGACAGAGTGCTTATGGGAATATAGTGCTTTAATGTCGATTACTCATTTAATCCTCTTCATGTCACCGTTGACACATACGGCACCCACAAATGATCTCTTGCTGGCAGTCTGCAGCTTTTCCATCTGTGGTATCCCATGTCACTTTTACTCTCTTTCAGTTCCAATTCTACTGTTATTCTCCAGGTTGTCTAAAATTGCCATCTTCTCCTTTTCCATCTGCTAGCCATCGCAGAGCTGTCCATACTAAAGTTTCACGGAGCATTCTATAAAAAACGTTCAAGCCATCCCCATCTTCTTTCGTTGATAACTTTTAATTATGATGAATATTTGGTTCTCCTCTTCAGTTCTTCAGTTGTGATGATGTTCGGCCAAAATATTCGCATGACCATCCTTAGATATATATTATGAATTTATGCTGTGATTTTCCAACACTCACTGTTGTATATAAAGTAGTTTTTTCTCAAATATTGCTATACCAAGACATTGCTCGGTACCAATTTTAGACGGTCCTTCTGTCTATTCTTCTCCTTTCTATGAGTGCCGATCAAGACATGTTTATTTGTTATAATATATACAATTTTAGACTGGGTCGACATAGTAGCCTTGCATCAGTAATAAAAAGACCCCTATGTGCTGTTTGGAACCCAAGACTTTCAGACAGGCGGGCAGGCAGACAAGCTTCTAATCGCTTGCATGCTGTATATAATAATGATAGGTTGTTGCGTATCCTTTAAAGAACGTTGCAGAACAAACCCCAACAGCCCCTGGCGGTTGTGTGGTTTTCTAAGCAAGTTTACATCCAGTAGTTTGCCATTGCTTTCTTGACGGTCGGCTTTCTTGATACCACTGTCGAAACCAACGCAAGGTGCATGGCCCGCAGCTGGGATCAAACCCGGCATCCCGGCATTACGAAGCGTTCGTATCGACTTAGCCACAGAGCCGACATATAGTAATGACAATCTGGTTTTTAAAAAAAGTCTGCTTTGAGAAAAGTCCTAATATATTTTTCGTTGCTGGTCTTATTTCCGTTGACTACGAATAGTGTGTAATTTAGCAACAGCTGTCTCTGCAGATGATGATGATGATGATGATGATGATGATGATGTCTCTGCAGAGGCAGTCGGTCTACATTCTTTACAGGGAGGATGGTGAGGTGGAGGAAGAGGAAGAGGAAGAGGAAGCGGCAGAAGAAGAAGGAGGAGGAGGAGTACCAGCAGCAGCAGGAGCAGCAGCAGTAGTAGTAGTAGTACTAGTAGTAGTAGTAGTAATAGTAGTAGTAGTAGAAGTAGTAGTAGTAGTATTAGTTCGTTGTTTTATATGATCCTATAAAAAGCACATACACACACTTCTTGTTGTTGTACTATATTTTACCTAGTAACTTAAGTTACCGAAAACATAACGAAGTTTTGCGAATAAACTAATCCACGGTGTGTTTGACTATCGCATTAACAAGTGCAAATGTCTGTGTCAACAGGAAATCCCGTACAAACCGGCACAGCAACAGTGACAGTGTTTGTCAAAGACGTCAATGACCACACCCCTACCTTTGAGAGTAGTGGGCCTTACCTGGCCCACGTCATGGAGAACAGACCGGAAGGGACAGAACTCCTGACAGTGATGGCTACAGACTTGGACGAGGGCGCCAACTCTCAGATTGTGTAAGTAAATATCCATGGTTTTCTCTGTTAGCTGATGGTTTGACACAGTGACCACGTGTCAGTTGCGCTTCTGGCGATACTGACATCTCTGTTGGTTAAACGGACAAGACCCTGACGCTGTTAATGTGTAACTGGCCTTAACGGTTTTACTACTTCTTCTTCCAAAACTCTTGAGCCAATTTAGCCGTTGTCATCATTTCTGCTACAACCGCCCACCAGTTACTCTATTATTATTATTATTATATCTTTTTAAGTTACTAGTTCTGCTTCTGTCGCCATTCCTACTATAATCATAAATTCTCACAATCCCTGCTAAAGTCACAAGTTGTGCTACTTTCACAATCCCTGCTACAGTCACCAGTTGTGCTACTTTCCCAATCCCTGCTAATCACTGGTTCTGCTACTATAACCGTCCCTGCTACAATCACCAGTTCTGCTACTATAACCGTCCCTGCTACAATCACCAGTTCTGCTACTATAACCGTCCCTGCTACAATCACCAGTTCTGCTACTATAACCACCTCTGCTACAATCACCAGTTCTGCTACTATAACCGTCCCTGCTACAATCACCAGTTCTGCTACTATAACCACCTCTGCTACAATTACCAGTTCTGCTACTATAACCGTCCCTGCTACAAACACCAGTTCTGCTACTATAACCGCCCCTGCTACAGTCACCAGTTCTGCTACTATAACCACCTCTGCTACAATCACCAGTTCTGCTACTATAACCACCCCTGCTACAATCACCAGTTCTGATACTATCACAATCCAACTACAGTCACCAGTTCTGCTACTATAACCGTCCCTGCTACAGTCACCAGTTCTGCCACTATAACCAATCCTGCTACAATCACCAATTCTACTACTAAAAACCACCCCTACTACAATCAACAGTTCTGCTGCTATCACAATCCAACTACAATCACCAGTTCTGCCACTATAACCAATCCTGCTACAATCACGTTCTGCTGCCAAAACCACCCCTACTACAATAACAAGCTTTGCTACTATCACAATCCAACTACAATCACCAGTTCTGCCACTATAACCGTCCCTGCTATAATCACCAGTTCTGCCACTATAACCACCTCTGCTACAATCACCAGTTCTGCTACTATAACCACCCCTGCTACAATCACCAGTTCTGATACTATCACAATCCAACTACAGTCACCAGTTCTGCTACTATAACCGTCCCTGCTACAGTCACCAGTTCTGCCACTATAACCAATCCTGCTACAATCACCAATTCTACTACTAAAAACCACCCCTACTACAATCAAAAGTTCTGCTGCTATCACAATCCAACTACAATCACCAGTTCTGCCACTATAACCAATCCTGCTACAATCACGTTCTGCTGCCAAAACCACCCCTACTACAATAACAAGCTTTGCTACTATCACAATCCAACTACAATCACCAGTTCTGCCACTATAACCGTCCCTGCTATAATCACCAGTTCTGCCACTATAACCAATCCTGCTACAGTCACCAGTTCTGCTACTATAACCAATCCTGCTACAGTCACCAGTTCTGCTACTATAACCGTCCCTGCTAGAGTCACCAGTTCTGCTACTATAACCATCCCTGCTACAGTCACCAGTTCTGCTACTATAACCATCCCTGCTACAGTCACCAGTTTTGCTACTATAACCATCCCTGCTACAATCACCAGTTCTGCTACTATAACCATCCCTGCTACAGTCACCAGTTTTGCTACTATAACCATCCCTGCTACAATCACCAGTTCTGCTACTATAACCGTCCCTGCTACAGTCACCAGTTCTGTTACTATAACCGTCCCTGCTACAATCACCAGTTCTGCTACTATAACCATCCCTGCTACAGTCACCAGTTCTGCTACTATAACCGTCCCTGCTACAATCACCAGTTCTGCTACTATAACCATCCCTGCTACAATCACCAGTTCTGCTACTATAACCATCCCTGCTACAATCACCAGTTCTGCTACTATAACCATCCCTGCTACAATCACCAGTTCTGCTACTATAACCATCCCTGCTACAGTCATGAGTTCTGCTACTATAACCGTCCCTGTTACACTCACCAGTTCTGCTACTATAACCGTTCCTGCTACAATCACCAGTTCGGCTACTATAACCGTCCCTGCTACAATCACCAGTTCTGCTACTATAACCATCCCTGCTACAGTCACCAGTTCTGCTACTATAACCGTCCCTGCTACAATCACCAGTTCTGCTACTATAACCATCCCTGCTACAGTCACCAGTTCTGCTACTATAACTGTCCCTGCTACAGTCACCAGTTCTGCTACTATAACCGTCCCTGCTACAATCACCAGTTCTGCTACTATAACCATCCCTGCTACAGTCATGAGTTCTGCTACTATAACCGTCCCTGTTACAGTCACCAGTTCTGCTACTATACCCGTCCCTGCTACAGTCACCAGTTCTGCTACTATAAGCGTCCCTGCTACAGTCACCAGTTCTGCCACTATAAGCGTCCCTGCTACAGTCACCAGTTCTGCTACTATAACCGTCCCTGCTATAGTCACCAGTTCTGCTACTATAACCATCCCTGCTATAATCACTATTTCTGCAACTATAACCGTCCCTGCTACAGTCACCAGTTCTGCTACTATAACCGTCCCTGCTATAGTCACCAGTTCTGCTACTATAACCGTCCCTGCTACAGTCACCAGTTCTGCTACTATAACCGTCCCTGCTACAGTCACCAGTTCTGCTACTATAACCGTCCCTGCTACAGTCACCAGTTCTGCTACTATAACCGTCCCTGCTATAGTCACCAGTTCTGCTACTATAACCATCCCTGCTATAATCACCAGTTCTGCTACTATAACCGTCCCTGCTACAGTCACCAGTTCTGCTACTATAACCGTCCCTGCTACAGTCACCAGTTCTGCTACTATAACCGTCCCTGCTATAGTCACCAGTTCTGCTACTATAACCGTCCCTGCTACAGTCACCAGTTCTGCTACTATAACCGTCCCTGCTACAGTCACCAGTTCTGCTACTATAACCATCCCTGCTACAGTCACCAGTTCTGCTACTATAACCGTCCCTGCTACAGTCACCAGTTCTGCTACTATAACCGTCCCTGCTACAGTCACCAGTTCTGCTACTATAACCATCCCTGCTACAGTCACCAGTTCTGCTACTATAACCGTCCCTGCTACAGTCACCAGTTCTGCTACTATAACCGTCCCTGCTACAGTCACCAGTTCTGCTACTATAACCGTCCCTGCTACAGTCACCAGTTCTGCTACTATAACCGTCCCTGCTACAGTCACCAGTTCTGCTACTATATCTACGTGCCGCACCTTGCTCATTTCGCTCCACAGCGCGTTGCTGGTACCCGCCATCAGGTCCGTTGAATCAATGATTACTGATTTAAGAACGGCATCATAGCATACCGGGAAACCCCTAGATGCTGCGTCTCCAGCAACTAGTCTCAGGGTGTAGATTAGGTTCCAGACGCACACTGGTTGTGCTGTACACGCCGTACACTTCCGTGTCTTCCCCTTTTTGTACTATTTTGTATATATTTTATAGCCAGCAAATACATTATGTCTGCTGTTTGTTTTAACATAATGTTTAATGTTTAATTAGGAATTGTCATCACAACATGACATCTACATAAGCGATCCGTTCCCCTCTTCAGCAGTAAGCACAGAGTTCCAGTTTCGATGGCAACAGTCTCATTGTATATACGTCTCCCCCCCCCCCCCCGAGTGTTGATCGTGGGCCAGATCCCATTGTCACTGCTCGCAGCATCATTGCCCTCAGACCGTGATGATCCATCTGTGTCTCCGCACTGCTCACTCGCCCCTCATCCCCCCTTAATAGACCTAACGATAGAAAACAACGTCAAGAGAAAAGAGTATTGCAGTAGGAGTGGTAATTGTAGCATGGGTGGTGAGAGCTGGAGACTTGCTTAATTAGTGATTGTAGCACATGTTGTCATTGCAGCATGTATGGTGTCTTCTTCTTTTTCTTGTGTTTTCTTTCTGATTGACACCGACATACGGGTTATTGTGATAAATGTGTCAGTTTTCAACAGTAAAATTGAGAGCCAACCTTGCAGCAGGCAGTTTCACTCATCATCACCATGTAGCAGGTCCTTTGCAGAACGTCGCTCTCATCACTGTCTGAAAGAAACTAGATCTCTCGCCAGCTCTCCAGCCTCATGCACTTTCATACTCAAGGAGCCACTTAAATCCTGTGCCCATCTTCGTGTTGGTTGGCCCCTCTCCCTCCTTCCTGGTACCATACCTTCTACTATTGTTTTTTCCAATCCGTCGTGGCGCTTGATATGACCAAAATATTTCAGCTTCCAGTTTTAAACTACTAGACGTAAATTTGAATAGTGAAATCACACACAGCCAAAAAATGCTGGGGTTGGTTCTACAGCGTCCTGTAAAAGACCAACTTCTTTTTTTTTTAAATGTCCTTATCTTCTTCTTGTTAACTCTGTATCATACACAGAAGTTATTTCAGGGCATATCTTTTCTTATCTGACCTTCATTACATTCTGAAGCAGTAATCCTCAGCAATTTCATCTTATCTGCGCCGTGCTGCGTTGTCATCTTCTCGATCAGGCGTCTTCCGCCGGGCCAGCGTTTAAATTTCCCTCCAATAGATCCGGGGAGATAATCACTGTAATTTGTGAGAATAGCACCCAGCGGGCATGTTTTCGTATAAGGGGAACTAACATTTGGACAAAAGGCGGCAGTTGTTGGAGAGAAGATGCAACCAACGGCGCATACATGCAGATTTGAAGGAACACAACTTGGAGAAAATGCCGTGGCGTGTTTTGAAAGCTTGGCAGAGAAAGGTCAGCGGCCTAGCTTGTTTATGTGCGTGGAATTTTATTTATCGTGAAGACATTTAGACATCTGCAGTCCAGCCTGCTGTTTTTAACTTTCTTCCTGTATGTCCAACTAACCGACCCCCCCCCCCCCCCACCCCCTCCTCCCGGAATAGGTGCTGC